GGGGGAAGGAGGGAGATAGGGAGGAGGGAGGGAGGATTGGAAAAAAATAGAAATTTCAAATAATGCCCACGTACGTTTAAAAATATTTTAATTTTTCCATGAAGGAAAAATATTTAATTTGTATCATAGCACCATCCAAGACATGTTGTAGGTGCTAAAAAGCTGGGATTTCTTTTTCTAGTTGATTTGAGAATTAGTAGGGAGTAAAGAAAAGGCAGTCCAAAGAATTAGAGATATGTGGATAAATAATACTTATATTTGAGCTCTTTCTTACATCATCTAATTCTTTTGACATCCTGTGAGGTGGGTAAGTGTCATTTGTCCGTTTATATTAATAATAGGGAAACTAACGCTTGGAGGGCAACCTACCTCCAACCTAGGGTCAGGAGCTTCTAGATAAGTATTCTAGAGCCAGAAAATGATTTATTTCCATAAATGCTATTGTCTTCTATTTGAAAAGTAACAGAATGACAGAGTCTTTAAATGCTAATATTCATATGCCAAAATGTTTTTTCAACTTTACTATCTATGACAACTTTGCTACTGCCTAAGTAGGTTACCATGGGTAAATTCTCTATGGGCTTCTGATTCGTAACTTGTAACATTCTAGCTTACCTAGGTCTAGTTTATCTCTTAACTTCCATTCCAACTCTAAAAAATAAATCATAATAATGTGTTAGTTGAATAAAATCATATAAGTAAAAACACTAATCCTAAATTTGAATTGGAAATACCATTATGAACCAGATGTTTTTCTTTTAAAAATACATATTTCTAAGCTCCAATCTCTGAAAAATCCTAGAATGAGAATGATCGATTATTCCTAGCACCCAAATTATGGTCTCTAATACCGATTCTTTTGAAAGGAACCAGAGATCATCAGAGTACAGTAATGACTAATTTGATTTCTGGAGCAGGATATATACAAAATGAGCTTGTAACACTTGACATACTAGAAAGGCAAGGAAGCTACAGAAGACAACTAGGGACATATCAGAACTCAGGAGCCAACTCAAAAATTGGAATACAAGGAACAGAGGAACATGATACCATGGGAATGTAACCAATGAAAGTCACAATGTGACAGACTCTTTGGTATAGTTTCTTCAGCAAACAAATTGCTAGGAAAAAGGAGGAAAAAATTTATTTCGGAGACTTAAGAGACATACCAACAAATTGCAAAATGTGGGCTTTATTTGAACAATAATTCTAATTAAAAAATCTTTTAAACATGAGATGAGATATTAGGAAATTTTTTTCATGGTGATAATGTTAATATATTTTATTTGGAGATATAAATATTTATAGATGAACATTTATAATCACAGGATGTGGTTCAAAATACTCCAATATTTGGGGCTGGAGGAGGTTGTGAATAAAACACAATAGGCCATGAGTTAATAATTATTGCAGCAGGATGATAGAGGCTTATTATATTAGGTCTTCATTTAAAAGATTTCATAATAAAATGTTAAACTATTGGGGAGGTTTTGTGTTTGTGTCTTTGGTTATCTAGTAATCTGCTTCATTTTAGTACATCATTGCTATATTTTAAAACAATTTTTTTTTTTTAACAGGGTGCATATGGCCCATATTCTCCTGATGAGTGCATCTCTTTGCCTGTTTACACGAGTGCTGAAAGGGATCGTGTGGTAACCAATATCGATGTTCCATGTGGGGGCAATCAAGACCAGTGGATTCAGTGTGGTGCAGCTCTATTTCTAAAAAATCAGTAGAATCTCCTGACAACAAAGGCTGTCGTAGCAAAATGAAACATTTATTAAGATTTAAACAAAATATGTGGTCAGTCTACATTTGAAATGTTTGTTCAAAACATTAGCATATAGTTACCCTGTGTTATTGATCTCATTGGATTTTTAATGTATAACTGTATCTTTTAAATAACTTAATGGAGTTAATGTTCAAATGGAGTATACCTATGATAACATTAAATATTTCTATGAGGAAGTTCACTTTTTCAGTGGCTCAAAAATTTGTTTTAGGTAAGAGGTTTAAACTGGCGTATTAATAAATATTTTGACTATCATTTTTGCATCACAGTTACTTAATATAAGATTAATAATTTTTTTAGCCTCCCATGGTTTTAAATATAAACACTTTTTAAACATCAAAGGCTATTATATTTTAAAATTATAATGAATGTATAATTCATTA